CATACACCTTTAACAACCTTTTTCGAATTTCTAAATTAACCGTTCGCGAGCATAGAAGTGACTTCTTTTTATTAAAGGCGACACGACCCTGCGCTATCCTCTGCTTTATATCCCTACTACTCCTTCCATCCTCACTTATCTGACTTTATAGGTATCTAAAATCAGCCACTTCTTCCAATTTTTCGTCTCCTATCTTTATATTCGCTCTTTCCCTACTTTTTCTTCCCTTGCATATCAGTATGCATATAAAAAGAATAATTCTAATTCAGTAACACAAGGAATAAGAAAGAATATTTTGAAATTTAACTCCTAACGGGGTGAAAAGATAAGCTACAGCTTGTAAGGAACATTTTTGTTTGTGAATAGATTCAAATGAATTTTTTGGTCTTAATGCTCTTTGATGTATTTAATTAAAAATTCAACGTTTGAGGAAGTGAAAAGGGTTATGTTCATTGAAGCGGACTTGCTACTTACAATATGAATACAATAAGATTCGTGTCATGCGCGTATTGCAGCCCATGCGATTTTGAAATACCTCTACGTCGTAACTAATAATTTCTACTGAATACAACGACTGGTACTGCTGTCGTTTTTGTTTTGTGGACAGCGAAATAGAGTTTTTTAAAGAGATTTGCACCAGTCACTAATTTATAAAAAGTAAAAAAAAGTATTGTGTATTCTAGACCCTCTAGTCATTAACGCAGTATAGTTCGTTAATTAAAATTTCGACGTGATTAAAACAACGAAAAAGCTTTTCAATTTACAATTGCCACTTCGGCGTTCGTGGCTTTGGAAAGAAATAAAATCGTTAATGATTTTCTAATTGTTATTGAGCAGACAATGGAGTGAAACTCCTCTTCCCACGTCAACTGCGACAAGCGTCTCTTCATTTCCTTTTTGTATTGCAACTTCGTAACCAACTCTCGTTGAAGTGGTTTATTATTCATTTTTAGAGAGTGCCTGTTACGAATTGTAGCACGCGATTAAAACAAAATTCTACAGCTCGGTTTTTAACTAACTTCTCANACTGAAGAAAGAGGGCTGCAATCGTTATACCTAAAACTGCCTACTTTTGCCACAGCGCATCCACGCCATTTTAAAATTTCCGCCAGCTTCCAGCGTCAGGCCTGTACTTTAGTAAAGGTTGCTTGTTCTTTCTAACTGTCGCAGTTCTACCCACAAAGTTATTGGGTAGCGTTGCTTTCTGCACCGTATTCCATATTAATGGTATAAATAATTATTGCTATCTATCTCAATTATTTTCACCTAAGATAGACAATTATCACCTCGTTTTGCTGTAATTGATTGATTCGCGGCTATTGTGAACGTCATTCCTTAAGGCTTCTTGTTCTCAAGATTTCGTCGATTTCCGTGAACTGTATCTCATAATCTTAGTTCATATATTTATTTTTGATTTATAAAACCACGACACGTGCGAGTCAAAGAAACGCTGAAATCAAGAAAATTTTTAATCAACGATTACCTGAAATCGCACGAATCTATAGTAACAACGACTATGACCGTGAATGTAATTCGGAAAATTCCAGCATTCAATTTCGTTTGTGAAATTTTACAGGTTTTTTCAAATCATTATCAAAAGGACAAAATTGTGTTATTTCGCTAGTCTTGAAAAACGTATAAATGATTTGATTTCGGTTCAAATCCTCGCAAAGGTGTACGACATCTTGTTTAATTTTAATGAAAAAATATGAAAACGTGATAACAAATACATCATTCCTTGATGACCTGGGTGAGTTGCTATTAATAATGGAGGAAATCGTACAAACAAAGTCCACTTTATGTTATATCTAAATGTAGGGTCCAATGAAGGCTTAATCGGCCCTGTTTCTTATAATTGTGGAAATCTATCATATTTGCGAAGGATTCCAAACGTAAAAACCTCTACAAACCTTCAGAATGTACGTTCCTATTTCTTGTTTTGATCACGGAGTGCTTTGTTTTTCCGCGTAAACGTTCGCCATCGTTAAAAATAATGTTTGCGTTCACTGCCGCATTTTTTATCTTACCTATTTTCGGGGTTATTTTTAGATAATGAATGCCCGTTATTTAGCTTTCCATTACGATCCCTCAGGAACAATCTGTCACTGCAACCCGCTCGCATTATACTCAACAGTCTGCCTTAATAAATACTCACACGAAGTGCACATACAAGTACGAGAATACGGACACATTCGCGTTCTGTATCGTCAAAGAAGTGCTGTTCAACGCGAATTATTTATTGCTTTTGCCAAAGGAGTTATGACATCCCCGAGGCCTAACTCTAACGGGAACAAAAATGCGTAACTGTATGCTTAAGCTGCGCCTAGAACCACAANCGAGAATACGGACACATTCGCGTTCTGTATCGTCAAAGAAGTGCTGTTCAACGCGAATTATTTATTGCTTTTGCCAAAGGAGTTATGACATCCCCGAGGCCTAACTCTAACGGGAACAAAAATGCGTAACTGTATGCTTAAGCTGCGCCTAGAACCACTACATGCATATATTTTATATCTAATATTTTAAATATATTTATGATCACATAACAAAACGCCTGATTCAGTGAATTACGTATATTATTTAAAAGCCAAGAAATAAAGTAAAGTTGAAGTAAAATTGTAAAAAATCAAGCTAAATAGGGGTAGGGGTTTAAATTTACACAATTTTTAATTACACATATCCCTGTTGATACCTCGTATTTGCAGCGAAACATCGGTTTTTAGTTTTATAAAAACATAAAACTTTATCCCTGTTTAGCTGTAGCTAGGAAGAAAAGGCAGCTAAAATTAATACTAAAGCTAAAATGATAAGAAATGTATCTTAAATAAGACAAATTTTGATAATAAAAAGCTCTTAAACAAAATGAAAAAAATAATAATGTTCGTAAAATGTTCAACCACGCCTCCGTGCACGCACTACTGCTCAACTAGGGTGGTCACTATAGTCTACGGAATACCTATTGATCATTAATGCCTTTCACATGAATTTTAAACCCTTTTTTCCCTCTGATCATATGACATGTATGCAAAAGTTTAAGTTTAAGGCGAAGTTTAGAAAATATTTTCTTTTAAACATCTACACAGGGTGATTAATAAAATAAATGGGTTATTTCAGACTCGTTCAACCCATTGGTTTCTAACCTTATCTCACAGATAAAATTATGATAAAATTATTTAAATGTAAACGTTCAAAAATTGGANTTTATCGATTCAGGCAGTACGAAGACTGCCGGGACAGCTAGTTTGCAATAAATTATTTGTGAGAGTGAACATATCATCTTTCTTATTTCCACTTGGGAATGTAGTCATTTGCTGCTTCATGAGTATAGTATCTACAGACAAAATGAAAAGAGATAACCGAATAACAGTAAGCGGTGCAGCGATTAGAGGTTATCAAGGTACGCGAAAGGTCAGGGTCGGCTTTATAACTGCCTGGTTGGAATTATATCTTTAAACAAACGTCTTTGCTTTCATAAATTCCTGATAATGTTGAACTTTCTTTAAAGACCGATGCTGTTCAACATGTTCAAATTCTGCTTGTCTGCCTCTCTTTCTGTTACAATCAATTTATTCCTTTTTCTTTATTAGTACCCGCTGCAATTCCTAAATGGCATCTCTCTTCCATGTTTATGATATTCCCTATAACGTCTGTTGTAAGTAAAAGTAGGCATTCTGTCAGTAACTGCTCTAGTCTAATTAGTAATTTGAACGAAGAAAGTAAATGTGAAAATAGAATGGACTATGGCAATTTTGAACGTCTACTATATGGTATTCATTGGACAAATAACATTAGCCATTACTGCTAATGTCCGGTACTCGGCAAAATCACTACCTGGTACATCCCTAACCTGATATTTGCGTCACCAGTTTGCGGCAACTTTGAATATCTATATGTTGTAATAATAGAATGTAGAAACTGGTGTCCTCGAACTTCTTTAAGTTGAACAGTCGTATTTTTTTTTACAGGATTTAGAGACGTTCGACTTGGAAGACTTTAAGTATAATTCAGTGAACATGACAGCATTTCGAATTGTGGACACAGAAACTGAAAATGTTAAAGAAATCCTTGATGTTATGGAGAAATTCCTCCCTATTGGTCCAGCCATTCTAAGTAGAAAAGGAATCATCCGGGTAAGTTCCTTTATTTTTTTTTTTTATTGAATAATACTATGAAATCAAAAACAGTTTTTCTTTATCATTCAAAAACAGAATCACAATTTCAATTTAAAAATTTTCGGTAATATTTTATTATATAAAATAGTATACATTGCCTGCATTTGACTTATCGATAAGAAAACCTGTCATAACCGATAAAGGAATGTTGATATGATATAGCGGCCCCTACCTAATCTGCTTTTGACAGGTTTATTTATTCAAATTTTCCCATTACCTCGTCTTACTTACTTACGTATTTCATTGGATTTCTATTTTATAGACAGAGCAATCACAATACGATTCTGCTTGCTTTTATTTCTACTTCATTCGTTTACTTATTAGATGATACCAGGAAAAGAAAAATTAAGAAGAAGTGACCGATTTTAGGTATCTATAGGAAGTCAGATAAGTTAAGACGGAAGGAGTAGTAAGGATATAAAGCAAAGGATAGCGTAGGGTCGTGTNTCCAAATTTGGACAGCAGTTTGCCTTCGGCCTTCAATATTCGCGTCTATTCTTTGGTGTCCCTTAGTTTCATTCAAACAATTATTAATTATACATTTTTATTTAGATAGATCGTTAGACTTCACTCGTTTAAATTTAGTCAATATTTACCGTTAGTCAAAATGCCGTCATAGTACATAATCGCCTTAATTTAATACCAAGAAGATCTTTGGTAATAAAATTAGTCCTCTTCATTCTACCATTCTCGCTTAAAGTTTGTTTTTAGAGAATTTTGTAGTCACAGGTGGCAAAGAGAATGCTACTTCCCGGTGAACCTGCTATGAATTCGAATAAGGACCATATTAAAACAGAAACGAATTTTCTAGTATTAAATTATATTAGAAGAATCTCGAACAAGGCACGTTCTGCTAGAATTGTTGCATGCCTTTCGTTATTCTCATTAGTAAAGTGAAAAAGGTTGGCGGCGCGATGAAGACAGTCACGGCTTTGTTGATGCAAACTGGGATAGTCCGAGCTTCAGCGAGAACTCCATTAATATTTAAACATGATTACAGCAACTCCGTCTGCAATCCTATGTAACTCTTTCTGTTTCCATTTTCTGAAAACATAACGAAACGAAGAATTGTTTTTGAGCGACGGATTGAGAAATAATGACCTTTTATGGCGTTTGTTCAAACAGGATAAAAAACCGCTAGTTTTTGCGACACTCACTTCAAACATATTTTCAATTCTTCTGCTATAGGTGTAATAACTAGCACTTTTTATTATTTCCTATTAGTACGTAACATACCATCAATTTTATGAATTCTAATAATTTTTGAGGGTGCATATTTCTATCCTATAGTACATTCTTAAGGCGCACATGATTCCATAGGTTTGCTTAATACTGGTATCCATAGTCATTTCACCTAAACTGGAAGGTCATCAGTTACAAAATTATTTATGTACACATGAAACAGACGGTTTGCCTCTGTTGGGTTCTTAATCGGGATTTACATGACTGGGGGCCTTCAAATTTACCCCGGTTATTTTCCTGATCAGACGCGTGTTATGAGGTAACAAAATTTATACCTACCACTAATCTGACCTGAAGGTATTTTGAAAGGGATCCTAGACGTTGTAGGCACACGATGATATCGAAGTGATCGGGACATAGACACTATTCCCGACAATTACCCCGACCAGGTCTATGTTATTTTGGGTAGCTTAAACTGCCCTGATCATTTGTCCAGTCGGGGTCATGTGATACAGGCCGTTAAATACACCCCGACTATGTAAACCGAGCGGCATGGCCTAGAGGTCTAGACCATTGCTTAGCATTCGGGAGGACGCCGGTTCGATTCCGGGTCCGTCTGCCTTGGTCTAAGTTTTTCTGTGGTTTCCTTGGATCACTTAGGCAAATGCTGAGGCAGTAATATTCCACAGATAATCTTTCATTATCATCTGTCTCTTCATTTCGTCCGTCTCAACTTTCTCACCCGAACCACCACCCACTCATTCCCACGATTCCTGAAAGAAGGCTGAAGACTTCCGCCCTACCTTCCGGCATAGTCCGGAGGGACTGCCCGCCCACCAGCATTACTGGCTGGTGGGAATGAAACACCCAAAAGTTTTTTTTGTTTTGTAAACCGGGTGCTAGTCTGTAATAAAGTACGTCGAGCCAAATTTCTACCAGAAATGTTAGAATCCAATAAGTTATTCGATTTTATCTTCCAATTATTATGCCTATCTACCATAACCCTCTGTGTAATTATTAAATTTTTCGTTAAAAAAAAAGCGAATGAGTACTAAACCACCATTACCTACTTTGTTCATTACACCGAGACCAATTTTACAAATCGATAGCTCGATGGCAGGAAATTTAAATTCTTGTTGCGTTTCCAATGTTAGCGGAGTGTAATAAGTGTATTATAGAAAATATTTTCCAGATAGCTACATCCATTAACTTGTAATTCTTCTGTATACATACAGCTACGAATATCGCTTATTTGGCAATGTTCCAACAAAAGTTATCTTGTAGGGAGGTAGCTAATTAAGCGTCTACGTGAATTTAATGTTTTCGTTTCATTTTAGGTTGAGAGTTCGCTTAAAATATAAGAGCTCCTGTTTGTTGTCGCTTTTCGTAACACATATCTCATACAGCTTTTTATGTTACCATCAATTTAATTGCTAAGTCATTCCGAAAAGGATAGCTTACAGTTAAACGTTTCAAAATTAAAGGAACAACTCAAACCGTCACCAGCACTTAACAAAATGAAATACAGGTTTTATTCCACACACGTTTATTTTAAAAGCACTAACGAAATTATGTCCAAATTTTTATGTACTAATATGTTATAGATACCTATATAAGATTTTTTTCTATATATAACAAAT